AGTGAAGTCTTTTCAAAGGACGTTAAAATGTTGAAATTCTCAGTTTCAAAATCAAACCAAATTATTCCCATTCCCCTATCGTGTCATCATTTTACAGGTCAGTGGCGCTGTGTTGCTAACCTGTGCCTTACTTAACTCCGAGTAATAAACCTTTTCCAAAAGACACCTCGACATGTACTGGGACTAGGCAGTAGCTGCTTCAGCTTCAGGGTCCTGCTATGATGCATGCTGGCTCACTGTCACGGCTTACTTGGACACTTGATTAGAACAGAGCCATCGTTAATGTTGTTGGTAACATCTGTGCTCCTCCTACTATGACAAGTCAAAGCTACCATGGGTGCTATTATGGGAGCTACAATAAGGGTGAAACCAATGAGAGCCTCACAGCTACGCGCAATATCAACACAACCAATATGATGAGGCACCTAAACAGAATAAAGTCCTCACACCTATTTATTCCTGTAGCTCACTTTGGAGGAGGAGGAACAGCGATTCATGATGGGAGCTCTGGGTGGCAGTAGCTCCGTCTGTGGAGACGGACCATGGACTGGGTGCTGGAGAGGTGCCAGCTCGCCTCCTGGGCACTGCCAAGGTGCCCTTGAGCAAGGCACCGTACACCCAAACTGCCCACTGCTCCTAATACTAAGGTGGGTTAAATGCAGAGGCTTAATTTCAATGTGTGCTGTGTACATGCGTGACAATATAAGTTGATTTGGAGAGGACAGCTGGCTAGCTAGTCTATCTCCAGAGCTGGCAAACTAGCCAGCTGCTAAATGAGTACAATTTAACAACTTAATGCTTCACCCACACACTCTTGTCACAGTGTAGGAAAGCTACATTGCTATCGCCAGATAAATGACAACTTTATTCAGACGGTTTTCTGTGTTCGGTGTTGCGTGGAAGCATGGCGGATTAGTAGCCAGCCCTCCGCTGCTAGGCTTACAGGCGTCGCCATGCTAAGCCTAGCAGCAACATTTCTCTCCATCTCTCTAATAGATGAGCCTTCTGTGAGGTTAGCTGAATGCTAAGCTAATATACTAGCAACATTTTCTCTCCATCTCTGAAACGCCTTGCCGAGTCCGGTAGCTCACTACAGCCTAGAATCACAGTCTATCATCTCAAATGTATGCAAGTACATATTTAGATTTAGAATATTTGTGACAGCCCTATAATATAGTATTTTATAATACTTACAGACAATAGCTTAGCCACTTGGACAATTGTTGTCTCAGATTAGTATTCTGTATTTTAGATGAGGCTCCACCATATGGTGTGCTGCATTGTTGCGAGGAGAGAAAAGGAGAGCAGACAACACACACCCTTGTTGTGCTCCTTTCCTTATACTGAAGGTTTAGGACTATGTGTTATTGATTTATGCAAGTTGCCGGCCATGTTTACATAGCAAACAGCATACTGGAAGCCTTTGTGGCAGCATTAGGCCAATCTATATCCACAAAGCAGTGAGCACAAGGTAAGAATGCAAAGCAGCGGCCTATCACCTCGGCTGATAAAGCCCGCTGACGTCGATAAGAAATGCGAGGCCCTGCAGTTCTCAGGTGACTAGTTAGAGCGATGACCGCGACTGTTGCTTTACTAAACTATGTGGTGGTCTAGTATGAACACATGGGGTATACAGCCTGTTTAAAGACATGTATCCTTTTACATCCTCCCCAGCTCTGCCAATACAAACAGATACACATTTCAGCTAGGGTTGAACGTTATATTTATTTTTCCCTCCAGACATCCAGCTCCAGAAAAATCACTGCGTTTAATATTTTTTTGTGTGTAATTTGCTAGATTTACTGGCCCAAATTGGCATACTTACCACGGGGCAAGTGGGCAATCCTTATTGTCAAGCAACATAACGTGTGTGTAAGAATGAGTGTGTGTGTGTGTGAGTGTGAGTGTGAGAGTGAGAGAGAGAGAGAGAGAGAGAGAGAGAGAGAGAGAGAGAGACAAGAAAACACTAAAACTGCTGAACCATTTAATTGTAAATCCACAAAACAGTTACGCAAACAGTGTGGGATCATATTATGTCATTCAAGATAATTGCACTCAAATAAAAAAAACAAAGCAGAAGACGACCACACATTCACTTTTCCTGAAAAAATAAATATGTAATTGTCATTAATTATTTACGGTATGAACTGTACCAGAACAGCGTTTTTTGCCCTGAAATGAATAAATGGAGATGATTTTTAAAGAATGGAATTGATAGACAACATGCGTTTGTTATTATTTCCTACTTTGTTGATGACAAAGTTAATACTGTTAGAAGTCCCATTATTCATGTCTATGTTTCACACACTGTGCTAGTTAGTTATGTTGCCCAGCTCGAGCGGCACCTTCTAAAATAGACTAAGCATCACGTATTTTTAGCGGAGAGCCGACCATGGGACGCTTCTTAACTCGCTGCGGAGAGCCTGGTTGGATCACAGGCTGTCTGGATTGGCCGCCATCAGCTCCAGCAGCCGCCCCGGCTAGCATTATGATATATTTTCTCTGTTTTCCTTCATATTCTATTCTTATTTCACCTCTACTCTCTTCATCCCTCTACCACTACCATAGATTGGCTTCAAGTCTCCCAGCAACTTCTTTGTTATAGAAAAAAGATGGATTGGTGGGGCCCTGAGAATATACGTATTCAGCGTAAAGGGCAGGCTCTTCCTACGCAGTCAATTTCATTTTAAAAAGGAGATTCCTTTAAACATCAACCTTGATGTTACTCAGCACATAATAAAACTGGCCTGCTGGATCATTTCACAATACCACAAGGTTATCAAGGCTTCCTGATTCCTGACCAATCATTTATTATTTTAACTTTGTACATTGAAGGACACAATGAGCACAGTCAGATGCCCACTGCTATGAAATTAAAATGTTCAGTCATCCCATCATTTACCATTTAAAAAGAAAGCAGACTTTGGCCTCTGAAACGTAGACGCCCAGCCTCCAGCCTCCTGTATCCACCACCTGTGTTAGCTCGTCACGAAAGAAGTCCGTTGTATGCCGATACAATTCATAGAAGTAGGCTATTCAGTATCAGTGTGACGATACGATGACCTTATGGTACCCAGTGTTTTAAGCAGCCACACTGATTATGTTCTGTATGATTTTCTCATATCTTATCCATTTCTTTATTGTAAAGAGGACATGAATATCTCTAATAAAAAATAAAAATCCCCGTTCTCACTCTAGGCATATGTTAGCAATCACGCATGTCGCGGTTAGAAACTAAATGAACAGAGACTGCATAATCAACCCTGCAAATGTAGTCTTGAAAGAAGTTTGACCCTGGGTTTAGCCTACTGCAGAAACACATCTAAGCCTAACATCTCACCCAGGAGGTCCCCTGCCCACTATCCTGCTGGTGTCCTGCTAGACTGAGCTTCCATGAAAACTGACCTCATAATTACGGCAGTCGAGCCCTTGGTGGGAATTAGGAATGTTGCCATGTGACTGGTCAGATAAGGCTGGATGGCTGGATAATTCCACCGCCCATGTGTGTGTGTGTGTGTGTGTGTTCAGGAATTGAGGAATGCCCCAACCACCACACAAGGAGCCGATATTGAAAAGATGCAATTTAGGCAATAGAAACGGCAATAGGTCGAGGTGTGTTCAAACGTAGTCTTCAGTGGTAAAACTATAGTGAAGAATCCTGGCTGAAATTAAGTTACAAACCTTTATCATTGAAATAAATATGAATGCAAAGGACAGGTCTGTCTAACTTCCCTGTAGAGCCCTGGTTAAGGTATGGGCACCCTGGATAGATGTGTAACAGCCTCTCATAGCCTGGAGTCAAGGCAGACAAAGGTCAGCTACAGGACACCCAGGGAGTAAAGTGCAACAAGAAGGGGATCAGGGATAAGATATCCGCCGTGCTTCCTGATAAATGCTCACCCACATCTTACATAAGTGCACCAACACTCAAGACTATACATGCATCAGTTACACAGTTACCCAGCTTTGTGCTTTACTTGACGTTGCGGTATATACAGGTCTGGGAGACCCTACTTTATGTTTTGGGCTCACCCAGTGAAAAAAAAAAAAAAAAATGTCCACTTCGACTCTAAGCAACTAAATGCAGCGACAGCAATGGCAACGTGAAGCATGGCGGTTTGTTGTTCAGCCAAACGCCCTGACTACCGTTACACAGCTTGCTAACTACTACGTGTACATTAGTGGAAGCGACTTGACAGTCCGCTGGCACAAACATTGCCGATTAAGGTTGGCCATGTCACATGGCTGGGTTGTAAATCCGCCAGACGAAGGCTCACACAGACTGTCTGGAGGCACGTCCCTCTGGGAACTTAGCTGTAGCGACCCAGCTAACTAACTGTCTAGCTAGTAGACAAGTAAGCTAGCTAGTTGCAGCACATAACGCTACATTAGCAGTGTTCAACATTAGCTACCTAAAGTGATAAGAGCTAGGCTGAGTGGCGTGTCACTCAGCCTAGCTCTGTCGTCCAGCTAGAAAGTGAGCACACATTCGAGGCTGTTTGCGCAACTGTTTTGCCAAATAGCGCTACTGTCAGTCAGCCCATCCCTCTCCAGCCGACACTAGCGCCTCTACCAACGCTTTGGTAGCTGTGGCCAGAACGTCACGCCAAGCACAGTCCAAAACATCTGACAGTTTTACGTGACCTTGCTTGTAACAGAAGGCAAGCGCCTCATAAAGTACCAGTCAGTTCCATTTCCACATTGCTCGGAAGAATAACCCGGTTCGGGATGAACAGAATCCATACAACGACGTTAAGCTACAGATTTAGCGTTATGCTGTAATTAACGTTACTAGGAAACGCTTCTTACTGCATCCGACGTGCGTTTTGGTGGAAGGAGACTGCAGACAATATAGACGTAGCTATTGTTAAACTTAACATGTAACATTTAACATGTACTTAAATTCCGTGAGGCTTTCCGACATCTTGCTATGCCGAATGTATTCATATATCGTGGTGGTTCCGGAGCCAGTGTGTTATTTTTTTGAAAGGGGTCTACCTTATCCAACAACCATGGCCACTAAAACCTCTAGATTTTAAAAGGGAAGTCAGGACGTTGTCCTCTTGTGCACCGGCCTAGCCTAAAAGCTGACAGTTAGCTAAGCTAGCGCCACTGAGGTGAATCTAGCCCGTTGCTTTTCGGCTTACCTCTCTTGACTGCCTCGTCATACGACAGGAATCCGATCCTCGACTCTTTGGCCCCCATGCTCCCCTCATTTCATTGCGATCTGGATAAATAAACGCTGCGCACTGAGTTGATCACAATTGTTTTGTCGCCGTATCCGTTTATTGTGGAGTGGGTTGCTGCTGATGTGTGTGTGTGTGTGTGTGGTGAACGGGTGAATGTTTTCAGCGACGCCTCCATACTGTCACGTGAGCTGACTCTACAGGTCAGTTGATCAGCTCCTCCGGACGCTTGTAAACACACTCAGCATGCCAGAGACAAACGTCTTTATGTCAACATCAATACTTCATGAAGTGCTTCCCCTCTTTCTCGCGATTATGAGTCAAATGCATTCGACTCATAATGCGCAGTCAGTCACACCAAGCTGTCAATATATGTGCGTATCTGTAAAGTTTAGGTTGTAAAGAAGTGCGGGTAGCACCACCTTGTGGCTACTCTGCTAAACGACGCTAGTTTACATCTATACGTCCACCACAGCGACCTCTAGTGGTGCCACGGATGTATAGCTTGGCACGTAAACCAGGAACAAGCACCGAAACCAGGGAAGTATGTCGTGTTCTTAATTTATAGTTTGTATTATGTATTCAGTTTCAGTTTAATTCAATTGCACATACAATACCGTAATTTCTCTTTATACTGGGCCCATC